ACCTGTGTGGTTGCCACAGGCTTTAGGTCTCTGGACTCCTTGGAGAAGCCAGTGGGAGCCAGCAGGGGGCAGCAGGCGCTCTCGCTTGCCTTGGGCACCCTGGCTGCGTAGGCAGCTCTCTGGAGCCGTGTGCCTTTTAATCCACAGGCTTTAAAAGTGACAGAAGTATTAGAGGTCTGTGAATATATCCTTGTCATCACTGTGTGACAAATATGTGTGTCAAGGTCTGAGAGTTTATGAAAATATATTAATACTGGTATTGTGCGGTAGCTGTGAGGTTTGACTTCTACCAATTTCCATTGTTGTTAATAAGAAAGAAAAAGGAAAGGAGGACGTGAACCATCCCTCCCTTTGATTATGTGTTGCTCATGGACTCAGCTTAGGTGACAGGAGGTCCACTAAATCAGAGGGCAGCATAAAAAATGTGCAAGGACAGGTCTGCAAATGTGAGCTGGGCGTGCCTGCTCCGCACCTCACTGGCATCGTGACCAGGAGCAGACCAACCTGGATAAGCCTGGCTGGGCCCCTGAGGTGAGGAGAAGATGACGAGCCCTCCGGGCAGGCAGCAGGAGTCCCCCTCCGGAGAGGGCTGGCCCGCGCTTCCCAAGGCATTCTGACCTGGTGCTGGTAACTGAGTCCATGTTAGCTGTCATTTTGCTGAGATTTGGCTTTTAAATCAATGAGCAACTGCTCATGAAACAGCTCTGCAGTTTAACTTCATTTGTCCTTTCAGCCACTCTGCACTGTATGTCTCGTTTTTCAAATTGGGAATCCTAGGTGTGGGAGGCCGTGCGGTGGCAAGGGCGAGCGCCTGGGCGCACGCGGGCCTACGGGGCAGGTCCCTCATTGCTCTCAGTCTAGGACATGCCCATCGGCGGCGTTCAGGCAAGGCAGGAGTGTTTGGCCGGTGCACTTCCCTCTGATGGGCCTCTCTCTCTCACAGGCATATCTTCTTATTTGATCTGGCAGTGATTGTGTGTAAAAGGAGAGGTGATAACTATGAAATGAAGGAAATCATAGATCTCCAGCAGTACAAGATAGCCAACAACCCGACGACTGACAAGGAAAATAAGAAGGTGGCTTCTCGGACATTCATGAGGATGACTGACACGTAGCACTGAGTATTTGGGAAAGTTATGCTGATACGGCATGTGGATACCAAACTCTGTGGATGCTTAAGTTGGTCAAGTAAAATGGTCTATTTGCACAGGCCCTACGCATAACTTCTTGTGTACTTCGAATCATCTCTAGATTACTTATAATACCAAATACAGTATAATTCCTATCGAAACTATTATGTTGTATTCTTTAGGGACAGTGACAAGAGAAAGTTGGTGCACATTCAAAGCAGGTGCAATTTTTAAAAATAGTTTGCACTCGCGCTTGACTAAAGCTGGGGTCGTGGAACTCACGAACTCAGAGGCCTACCTGTCCCTGAGGGTGGGAGGTGGCTTGCTGGCCCTGGTGCTCGGGTGCAGAGATCGCTAGGTGCAGGCCCCTGTGAGCACAGCTGGCCGGTACCACCGCTGGTCAGGCGCCCCAGTGCCCTTACACCCGCACAGTGGAACGCACCTGTTAGAAGAAGCTGACCGCAGTAACAAGTTAGATGGTTCAGTCTGTATGTTGAGAATGTTGTGAGGGGCTTTCAGATGGGTACAGAGATGATTTAATGAATTTTGAAGCATGATATTTTTAATATGTGATGGCTATTAACTCAGAGGATGTTCATTTTAACAGTGGTCCTACGGCTTCTACCTCATCCACATCCAAGGACAAAATGGGCTGGAATTTTATTGCAAAACAAAAGATTTAAAGAAAAAATGGCTGGAACAGTTTGAAATGGCCTTGTGAGTATTTCTATTTTTAAAGGTTCTTTTCTTCTACTATTGAAATCATTTATGAATAATGAACGACCAGTGTACTCCAGTGCTTGCAGCGCTGGGAGGGGCGGCGCTGGCTGTTCCCTTGGTAACTCCTGTTCTCCTAGGCGCCGGCTTTCGGGGATTTCTTCCAAAGGAAGAGAGAGGGAGCTCTAAGCTTCTGTTTGACTTACTTCTCCTAGGAATATTTTAATTATTTAGTTTTCAGCAGCTCAAGAAAGTATGCATTATTCTAATGATAAACTTAATGGAATCACTGTCGTTATGTACCTTTAAATTAAATACACTCTCCACATACACCTACAAAGCTGGATGCATCTAGAAAGATTCTTTTTTTGTATTTTAAGCTCATTTATTGTTGAAATGCTCGCTAAATTGTGGTTGCACTCAGCGGATGCTTTAAGGGCTTGATTTCTTTCTGTGTTCTTTGCTTTATGAAAGCCAAAGCTTCAACAAAGAGGTGGGAAACAAAACAGACCTGTTTTCAAAAGAAATGGCATGCAGAGCTGTAATTACCCAAGAACATGTCACTCTAGGTGCTCCTGCTTAGTTTAGATGCGTACAAATTAAAAGGTGCAGAGAAACCCTTGTTGTAGAAGCATGTTGGTCATCCTGAAACTAGTTAGCAACGTGTGGAGTTGGGGAAAAATGCTTTTGTGCTTTATTTTGTTTCTGTTCTAGCATTATCTACCTTTTGTGGACAAATTCTACCAAGTTTTGTTTCTTGTTTTTGCTTTAAGAAATGCTCTTGCTACTTTAGCAAAAGGCGTGATTAAAATGTCTTACTGCAGTTCAGAAAAGAGAAAGGTTCTTGTAATGTTATCTAAAATTGTGAGGAGCAGGGTTACATAACTACGTGCTTTTAAGCATATAGTCGTTTCTGGGCTTCATCGTAATCTGGTCCATGAGCTCTCTGGGAATCTTAGTTTATTTGGGTTCTGTGAGCCTCTGTCTTGTCTAAAATATTTATATATTATTTTAAATTCCAAATAATATGCCCCAAGCGAGGTGCTAGCCACAGTCATATGATATCAACCAAGGAGTGGTAACTGTAGTTACTGCTAATATTGTATTTAGGATCCTAGTTTACTTATGAATACTTAAAAACCTGAAGAGTATCTTCTGATGTGCTCCTGTAGTCCTTCTAACGTAGTAGTGAAGCAAAAGAAGCCAGCAGTGCGGTGCACCGCTGCGGGGCCCAAGCTGCAGTGAAGCCCTTGCTTGGGGAAGAAGCGGTGAAGCTGGGGCGATGTGCCCAGCCCGTGGCCCATCCTGGGCTGGGTGAAACCGCCGTGTCCTTCTGGGGTGACACCAGGAGTTGGCCGGAGGGAACCGGAGTGAGGACGGTTGCAGGGCTGAGCGCACGCGGAGAAGCAGAGCTCAGCTCCAGCTTTTGTTCTCAGGGAAGGCGCCAGACCAGCGTTTTCCGCTGCACCTGCCTGGCGGTGCTATCTTGTGGTGACTGAAGGAGTTTCTGCAGAGGACTGAAGCTAAATGTTTTGTCCTAGAGCAGGCTTGGACTGTGTTAGAAAATAATCATGAACTATTATGTTGCGTTGTGGTAAATGCAGTAGTGAATCATTAATAGAAGAAACTTGATAAAATAATGCATGTATCTCTTTCATGTAAAAGAATCGAGGCAGGGCGGAGTGTGGCTGGGTCTGGTGCCTCCTTGGGGGTCGTCGGGACTCGAGCTCCTGTCCTCTCGTTCTGCCCTCATCAACATTTAGCTCTGTCCTCAGGGCTGGTCATGCTGTAGTCTTCAGATGGGTGCTGGAGCTCTAGCTGTAAAATCGACACTGGGGGGTGGAAGGTGGCCCCTTACGTTTAAGGTCCCTTTGATAGCAGTTAGTTCTGTTACTTACCAGGACGCACTCTTGTGGTGACATCTGCTGGGGAGACAGGGAGTTAAAATCTTTCTTCCAGGTCGGAGTGTGCCTGGTGCAGGACCAGCTGTCTCTTACTTACCCTAGAGGAAGGGAGAGGACAGTTGCAAGCAGCTGCCGCCGCCTCGTGGACACACGCACGCAGCGGTGGTATATGGGTGTGGTACGTGCACAGGAAGAGGACAGCGGCATGAGCAGGGAGCCTGGAATCCTTCATCTTTGATTATTTTCTAGGCATCTCAGCAACATAGTAAGCATCAGCGACTGTGGTTCTATGCCTTAGCTTTCTGTGGGCTGTCCATGTGTGCCCATTTTCTATTGCATTTGTTTGGACGTGTCGTCTTCAGCAAAACAAGTTGGAAGTCCTATCGGGCAGATCTGAGGTTGAGAGCTCCTATAGGCAGGAGTCATGCCATGTGAGCTACAAGAAAATCAGTATTTTATTCAGTTATCAGCATGTTGTATTACTCTCTTATTTCTCCACTTTTGTGAAGCTGTTTGTTCATTTGTTTTGCAGGGAGCCCTTAGAAACTTCCTGGCCTCTAAGGTAGCTCTTGTATGTGGTGTTCTCAGGAATATAGAAAAATCCCAGTAAGTTCTGATGCTAAGATTTTTGCCTAACATTATGCTCCACTCATAGTTTTTAAAGTTCTGGTATTTTTAGAAGTCATGGAAAATAAAAGAAGATGAAGAAATCCAGGAGGAACAGCAAGCCGCCCGCTACCGGTATCCTACGCGCTTCTGGGTCCCAGAAGCCTCTGTGGAGCTAGAAAAGTGCTTTTTAAGGAAAAGGAAAGTGGTTTTTAAGGAAAGGGACACACTGGGGAGGGTGATCAGGGAGTCGTTATTTTTTTAAGACTTATGAAATGTTTCTTAGTTCCTTTTACAGAAGAGATTCCATTTATAGGATGACTGGATCACTTTTATTTAAAAATCATTTCAGATCACCCTTAAAGCTCTGGGAATACTGCTCTTAATTTAGAACATTAAAAAATGGCCATAGAAAAGCATGAATACCGGTAAGCGATAAGGATCCTGTGGACATAGGTCCTCGCTGCAGGGGTGACCTAGATCTCAGCCTCTGTCTCTTCCCAGGCACACTGCTCCTCGCTCAGCGGCCGCGCTCTTAACCTTTGGCCGTGCCCACTTTCAGCATTTAAAATATGCAGCGAACCACATTAGAACTTGGCAACCACTGGAGGGCAGGCTGAGCAGGGAGAGAAGCTGCATGACCCACTTGGACAGGGCAGAAGGGAGGCAATTTTTCTTTTTTCTGTGAACAGAGGTATGAGGACTGATGGCTCTTGAGTTTCCTGGAACAGCTATGGAGCCAATGATGGTGAAGAGCTGTAGTTCTTGGGACCTTGTTCTAAAGAACATCCGGCTAAGTCTTTAGGGCCCTGATCAGGATGTGTTGCTTTTATTTGTTCCACTAGGGCGTTTTGTTGTCAGCGGTCTCCCGTAATTCCAACCAGTCATCTGTGAACTAACACAGCAAGTGGGCAAATGTTTTCATTGGGTTAAGTTGGTTTTCAAAAGCATGGAGGAAAATGTGAATGTAAATGCCGGTGTCAGCGTTTCAAATTTTGTTAGGAGGCGATGGATAGGTTTCCCTCCAATCCCTTATGTACATTATGTTTTTATGAATTTTCTAATTGTATTTAAATTAACAAACTATCGTGTCTTTTATATCTCAAGGAAACTGCTCATCGTAGGTGCATCTTAGCAGATTTGGACAAAGTCCGCAGTACAGGATTTGCAATATTGTCTAGGATCTCAGTGGCTCAGGGTTTCCTTTGACCTTGAGGTTGCTGAAGTGAGTGGCTGGCCCCAGATCTTGGGGTCTAAAGTGAAGCCAGCATTTCCTGAGGCTGCTGTTTGTCTTTGATTCATGGTAGGACGCGGCAGTCAGGCGGTTTGCTTACATGTCCCATGAATAGGTCAAAGTGGGGTAGAATGTGTGTCATGGTTTATGTACAGGTGTCCCCCCAAAGCCTCATGCAGTCTTGGGGCGGCTTCTGGAGTTTGATTGATTACTGTGGGTGTGGATGCTGCACCTGCCCTGGGGCAGGTAACTTGCATTACGGTGTAAGGAGGGAAGAGAAGCCAGCTGCTTGAGCTGCTGCTACTTCTCCCCTGTCGCTCTTGCTCTTTGCTGCCACCATGGAAGGCTGCCCTCTGCGGTGTGCCGCTCTGCCCTGGAGCCTGCTGAGTATGGACTGAAACCTCCAGTAACTGTGGGCAAAATGAACCTTTCCTTCCTTCATTTTGGGTGTTGGGTATTTGTCCCAGCAACGAGAGAAGAATAGCTAAGACAATATGAAAATATAAGGGGAATAATGAAGAGAGTCTTAAAAAAAAAAAGTTGTAAAGAAAAAGAAAGATAAATTGTGGGGAAAAGGAGCCAGTGAGCGCAGAGGGAGGGCACTGCTGCGCTCCAGACCCGCCTCAGCAGTGCTTCCAGAAGGGGAATGAACCGGTCCTGTTCCTGGGCTGCTTCTGGCCAGCCGGGCCCAATTCCTGAAGTTCTGACCACTCACATTTACTCCTCCGAGTGAGGAAAACCTCTTTGAAGATGAATCGTTGCTGCCGCCGCCTAAGATATCCTGACTGTGTGTTGTAAGCCAGGTACAGGGCTATGGGGGTTACCAGGGACATGGGCAGGGGAATCGTCCTGTGTGCTGCTGTGTCAGCCCAGGTTATGCACTTGATGAACACCAGGACCGACTGTCCTGGGGAGGAGAGGGAAGGAGCTGCGGCGCAGTGGCAGGAGGTGCTCTGGGCCCAGGCCTCGCGGTCCCGCGGCCCTTTGGAGGGGTGACTTCTGATCTTTCCTTTTCCCAGGGTGGGCCTGGAGCTGGAGTACAGCTGTAATCCTCACAAATTACATTTAATCTGAAGTACAGTGTTGCCTTCCGTGTTATTCTCCGACTCTTTCCAGAAGGAATTGGAAGTCACAATAGAGAGCACACATGCCACAGAATTAAAAAGAAAAATTTAAATAATCAGAGGTCAAATAAAACAGTCTTTCCATACATTTCTTTCAAACTCAGGCTCCACCAAGGAAGAACATTATCTTGA